TTTTGATTCGTGCCAGTAATGCCGGGGTGAGATGGTATCTCATTGTGGTTTTAATTTGCATTTCTCTAATGGCTAGTGATGGTGAGCATTTCCTCGTGTGTCTGTTGGCCATTTGAATGTCTTCTTTGGTGAAGTGACATGTGCTCTTCTTAATCCCTGGAGCACCCCTCTTCATCTAGCCAACTTCTGCTCACCCTGCAGGACCCAACTTCTGAAAGCCTTCCAGGTGCTTCTGGGCCCACTGACACACTGCATTTTCATTTTGCTACCACACTTGGCTCCTGATGTTACAGTAACTGGGTGCCTGTCTCTCCCAGTAGCTCCTCTTCGAGTCTCCATCCCCATATGTCTGGTACGTTACTACGCTACCTTCCTGACATGGAGAAGGTGCTCAGTCAATGTTTGGTAGATGAGTAAAATCGATCTGGGAGCTTGTTGTCATTAGAAGCTTACCAAGTCACCAGCGGGACTCTGTTTTGGGTGGTTATTTTCTCCTGGTTGAAAGTCAGCGCACAGCCTCCTAGAAATAAGTTATTGTGGACTTTAACATTAGCATTCAGTGTTCACTGACAGTTTAAATGTATATGAAAATGTAATCACCTTTGTAGAAGGTTGAAGCCTTATATAAACCTTCACGTCATGTGAACATAATTGAGTTTTATGTCTGAGGTTGAGTTTAAACTGTGTTTTAAGTAACAAATCATAAACTAAAAATGTTTATTTTGGCAGGCCTTCTTACAGTCGATCCAAATAAAAGGCTTAAAATGTCTGGCTTGAGATACAATGAATGGCTTCAAGATGGCAGCCAGCTGTCCTCTAATCCTCTGATGACTCCAGACATTCTAGGATCCTCAGGAGCTGCTGTGCACACCTGTGTGAAAGCCACCTTCCACGTAAGGCCCCTGTGCTGTGACCTGTAGAGCGATTTGAAAAGGAATCATAACCAGATGTTCTTACTCTCTAACTTCAGAGACATACTCTTAATAATTCATTTAAAGAAATATGTGTCCTTTTAATTTTAGGTATGTTTTTATGAATTGCTTTATATTATGAACAGAAAGTCCTTGGGGGACCAGAGTCACTGCTGACCCACAAAATACTTACTTGATGTTTAGAATGAGTTTGTGAAATGGGAAAATAGTCTGATATTGGAAGAGTTAAAAATTTTCAACACGTAATGAAAACAACATGCATGATAGAACTTGTTTCTTTCAAAGAAGCTAAATCTTTCTCTTTAAACACCATAAACAAACATTAGGAACTTAGGCACATGTGAAAATCCGATTGTTCAACAACTGTTCTCTGCATAACGTATTCTAGAGACAGTGAGGGAGAATGAAAGTTTGCAGACTGGTCAGAGAAGTATGGTATACATCCAGAGAATAACTGAGTAACAAATTTGAGACACTGTTGACATAAGTTAATTGGTATTGAGTATAGATTGTATATTTGAGTGATTGAGACTATGTAGGAATAACTGTAGATTATGCATATTTGTGCCAAGCAGATGCAAATAAATTAAGATAATTAGTATATGGAGTAGATGAGTTGCGGATAAGTAAAATTCCCTCTGAAGGAATTATCTTGATAAAGGAGAGGAGATTACTGTTCCTTTTACTTCAGCTGAAGAAATGGATTTTAAAAAAATTAATAAACTAGGATATAGTGAGGTGTGAAGAGCTGTAACTGCAAGAACTTGTACCAGGTGGTCCAAATCTTCTCAGCGACAAATGATGCAAGGTTGTAAGGAGCAACCAGCAGTGTTGCCGAAGCTGGAGACTGAGAAAAGTAAAGGCAGGCCGCTCTGAGGAGGAAGCCAGGGTGAGGTTCGTAGGGCTAAGTTTCTTGATACGTTTTAAGTGCCAAGGATACCCTCAAAGTACATTTAATTGGAAAGGAAGAGCAGGGACCCATAATGGCTCAGGTCTGCTCTGTTTTGATACTTTGTGATTAGAATTTTAAGTCTTAAACACAGAACCAGAGAAACTAGTGAGGGTTTAGATTGTTGATATTCTTCAGGAATTTCTGTCAATCAATGGTTTCTTACTGGGATACAGGTGATTTCTTCAAAGGATTTATTAGAACCATGACTGCTGGGCTGCCTGGCTGGTTTGATTTAAAACAGAGCCTTCAGAAATCTTTTCCTGTGAACTTCTGTACCCTGCCAGGAGGTTTGGATATAATGGTTTTAAGAACTTTCTTCCCAAAACAACCTGGAGCTATGGTTGCCAACCAAAAGTTGTCTTCTGCTATAACAACTTGTAACTGCCAAGAAGACTTAAATACTTTTACAAGTGTTCACTTTTTTTTCTCCCATAGGCCTTTAACAAATACAAGAGAGAGGGGTTTTGCCTTCAGAATGTCGATAAGGCCCCTTTGGCTAAAAGAAGGAAAATGAAAAAGACTAGCACCAGTACGGAGACACGCAGCAGCTCCAGCGAAAGTTCTCATTCTTCTTCCTCCCATTCTCATGGTAAAACTACACCTACAAAGACGCTGCAGCCAAGCAATCCAACTGACAGCAGTAACCCAGAGACCCTCTTCCAGTTCTCAGACTGAGTAGGAACGTAACTGATGATCCATTGCACCTTACAGTTCCCTCAGCGTACGCCTGAGGCGATGTTCTGTGCTTTTACAAATGTGTGGCGTTGGTCTCATTTGAATCTGCCTCTTGGTGAATTTTTTCAGGAAAACCTGTTTGGTTATCCTCGTCCGAAAGCACTGGACAGAGAATGTTACTGTGAAAAGAGCAGCCGTCACGCTATGTAGAGATCTGGAATGATGCCAACTGGACCGTTGTTGAAAGAGCAAAGGTTTCTATAAATTTAATTAGGGACTAGTTAGATTTGAGCTGCTTACAAAATAAGTCACAGATTTTTCAGATGTCTGCCAACAGCAGTTGACTTTACTGTACTGGTAACTTTTGCTTCGCTTTGTGGACATTGTGGGTTTTTCCAGAGATTTGCACGCTTTGAACCAGTGATCTATCAGAAGAGAAGGTCGTACTGTTTTCAAAAAGATTCTGTAATGAATTTTATGTATGGCATATACTTATTTCTTGAGGGAAGATTTTAACTTATTGTTTTTCTCTTATGGTTACATATGATGATAACCTGCTATTATTAATCTTTTTCTAAAAAGTAGAAAAATAAGAACTTAAGGCCCCATAGTCTATATTTGGGTCCGTATGAAATGCATGCTAAGCTGCATATGTTTTTAATTTTGCACTGCTCTTTCCTGGCAGTTTGTTTTAATGGTTATTGCAGAATATTAAGGTACATGTCTCTCTGTTTTCAGTAATATTGCACTTTATAAAAGAGTATGAATAAAGCAAGCTAGTTTGTAAAGTGCACTGTTTAAAGCATATGTACTGTATTTTAGCCATTTTTTTCCCCATTATCTAGTTTAAATGAGTCCTCACATCCCTCTTCTGCTTGGTATGCAACAAGTAGAACAGGGCATGTTGTATAACGTAATCATTAGCCACTTATGCACTGATGTGAGGAAAACTAAAGGGAAATTATACTGAACACTGTGCTTCATCTTTGTACACTGTGTTGTGCTGCAGCGAGGCATTTCCTCCTGGAGTCATATCTTATGTACATAATATTTTAGAATCATAACTATGACTTGTTTTGAAATTTTTCTGTTAAATTTTAAATCTGAAAAGCATATTTTATAAACTTACGCAGAGCACTTTTATTGCTCAAAAGGTCTGACTTCATACAGAAAACTAGTGTTATGTGATAAAGACATTTCATTGAAAGATTGCTGCATTTTCAAATAAAATTAATTCATTCCCTATGCAAAAAAAAAAAAAAAATGTAGTAGGGTATGTATGTTATATTTTCTTTTAAAGCCATCACATGAAATGTCAGGACTGAGAAAGTGATTTTTGCTATGTTTACAGGAATCATGCTTAAAAAGATAATGCCCAACATGTTTGTTTTATAGTTTTTGTTAATGATAACCTCTTGAGCATTCATTTGGAATTTGGGCATGATATTTATTTATTCCTTTCTTGAGGTAATAGCAGCATTAATTTCAACCAGTTAATGAATACTAAAAAAGTTGCACTCTATGTAATAGTAGAATATTTATTACTAAATCAATGTATATATTAATAGCACAGGCAACAAAAATAGCAAATATTAAAATATTTTCAAAATATTGTATTATTCCTGTTCACATTTTTGTCCACAGCAGTTATTGGGAATAACTTTTTATACTTTCAGTGGCCCACCAGGCTACAATAATTCTCATTGAGTCAATGAAAGTTTTATACTTCTAGCTTTCACTCATTCTTAGTAATGATGAGAAATCTTATGTGAATTATTACCAAACTATAGCTCTTTCACAGAATGTGATTCCATCAGACACAGATTTTTAATAATCAAGAAAATGTCTGTGTGTATCTGTAGTTGTGTTGAATATGTTGGGAAGTGTGTCAGCTCTTTAAGTGACTTTTAAAACTGGTAGAAAATGCCAGTTGTAAAGTACAAACCAAAGGGACACTCTTGCTCTAATAGAAAATGATCCAGAAAAACAGTCGAATAGCATACCCTAGTGATTGATGTCATTGATTCCTTATGTAGATTGGAAATTGATAAATTTCATTTTCATTTCTTTTCCTTGCCTCCTCTTCAGAGGGACATGACAGACAATGAAGTGGGTAGAAGGGCAGGCAGAGCAAGAAGAGGAAGGAAAGAGAAGGCTAATCCATCAGCTGATGAGCCTCCCTGAAGAACCTCAGCACCGCTCAGAGTGGTGTCATCAGTCAAATATCCTCATCCTCACCCTACTTATAAACACCAGAAAGACAGAATTTGGTGCTTACGAAGTTTGCAGTCGTTAAGTTGTTTGCAGACTGTTAGTGTACAGTGAATTATATTTTAAAATTCACTAAGCTTTCATTTAGTCACATCAAAAGTAAAGAATAAAAAATACTTCATTTAAAATTGTTAAATGAAAGACAGGACTTTCTGGCATTAGGAGTAAAATAAAAGTAGATGTAAGAAAAGCCAGTGCATACCTGAAATTCACTTTATAACGCTGATTTTAGGGGTAGAGCCAAATTGCCCCTTCGCTTCTTCCCTTATTGATTTTATTGTATGTAGTTTTCATACTATCATAAATCCTGATTCGTATAGTATGTTTTGTGGCTAACTGAGAGGGAAGAACAAGAAAAGGAAGAGAATACAGGAAAAAAATTAAGAAAGACCTGTTTCTTTCTATTACTGTGCCAGATCCTGTGGCTGAATGAGTTCCTTCCCAAGTTAAATTAGCTCATTTGCAATTCATTAATTCTTCCAAATCTGTGTAAAATAAGAAACCACTGAAACAGAAAATTAGTATCCTGAGTTAATTTCAACATGCTTCTGTCTTAGAGCCACAGATGCGTCCACCCAGGACAAAACACCTTTTCTGTTTGTTTTGTTTTTTTAAGATTGCTGCTGATTTCCTAAATATATAAATGCCTACATTTTAACTATAAATGTATTTTAAAGGAGGCTACTAGGATAGCAGTGACTACTTTTTTTAATAAAGAAATTCCTTTTGTATCTCATTTATTTTTTTAAGTATGTACTCAAATACTTTATAAAGGCATACAATTTGTCTGCTTGTTCACCTTGCTCTGTTTAGAACACCTGTTATTGTCATATTTATTAAGAATAGGGTATCACAAAATGGTGAAAATGTCTAAATTATTGGCCCTGTTGGAGCCTTAGACCACCTGATTACTTTGGAGGGTCTCCCACTGACCAGTAATACAAACACAGTTTGGGTATTTATGTGATCAGACTTCTAGTCATCTTTAATATCTAAGTAAATAATGTAAATTCTGTTATGTCACTTACACACTGTCAAAATAATTGTCTTACAGATGAATTATTATAACATAATGAAATATCTTAGAATTATATAACTTTTTGGCCACTCAGATATCATTTTTAGCTCCTCAGATGTCTTACACCATAGCACCCCAGTCTGTGACCTTTAATTAATTACATTCCGCACATGAATGTCCCTCTTCATTTGATAAAGGTTCCGGCACTAAAGTGAGCATATTACTGGCCTCTAAAGTAATTTGGAATTTAAACGTGAGTTACTGTTAAGACTCAAAGAATTGCAAAATAATCATAAGATAACAGGAAGTATGTATCAAATAAATATTTCAAGTAAACTCTACCCCAAGAAAATAGCTGCTACAGCAACATAAAGGTTTTATTTGCTGTCTTGTTAAGTAACTTCACTCCGAATTGTGGTTTTCCTTCGGGAAAGATACTCTCCTCAAGAGGTGATACTTGATTTTGTTTATGTGGGGAGAAAGGTGTATTTCAAGAACATTTGACTAGTCTCATTGCAGTCTTCATCTTCAGCTTTTCTTATATTTGAGCTTTTGAGATATTCGTTTGAACCCTTTTCTTTCTGTGCCCAACTCCTGATTATATTTTTAAATTAAGTAGTTGATTACTATTCCAAATGCTTCCCTTGCCCAAGGCTATTACCGATTTCCTGAATTTGTGAATTAGGCAGGCACCAGTAATTTATATTTTTCTACTACTAGACTAAGAAGGGGAGCCCTGGTGGCACAGTGGTTAAGAGCTACAGCTGCTAACCAAAAAGTCTATACAGTTCGAATCCACCAGCCACTCCTTGGAAAACCCTATGGGGCAGTTCCACGGCAATGGGTAGACTAAAGAGGAGTAAGAAACTAAAGTGGCGCCCAAATAGATCTGCCTTGGCTTTTTCATATTAGTGCAAAATAGGTACTGTTTATTGCTAGCCATTTCTTTATTATTATAACTCCTGATCACATGGTAAAAAGCCTGATATTGTGTACTTTGAAGCAGACTTGGGTCAAAAGGTAGGACTCTTAGTAGCTGTTCATCAGTCTTAACTTTCCTGGTGTATTTCTACCGGGGTGGGTGGAAGGACATTTTTTAACATTTTGTTTAGTTAAAATGCTGTTAGTGTTATCAGAAGGAATTGAATGCTTCGGCTAGGTCAAGTTAGTATTTAATACAGCAGTTGCTCTCCAGAGCGCTGGAAACTGGGATAATACTTAGCATTATGTTGTTTTCGCGATCTTTTCCGTTGCATAACACTTTTAATTTGTTACGTTTTATGAAAATTTGCCTAATTTGTTTCTTCACTAAAACATCTAGTTTCATTCTTGCTGCTCCCTATTTGAGCAGTTTTTATCTTCTCATGTATGTTTTGAAGTCTTCCCATATTAAAAAGAAAACAGAAATAAAGAAATGACATAACTTAGAAAAATAAATTTAAGTGTTGTGAGTAGAATACTACAGCTTTATTTTCTGGCATGTCTGCTTATAGATAGATTGGAAAATCATTATTTCGCTTATTCGTTTTGTTTTAAAAACCCGTAAGGGTGCACTGTGGAACATTTGACATTTTTAAATGCAGTTTTATTTTTAAATTTGTAAGAGGCTGGTCATGTAAAATGTGTTTTGTTGGGATGGATTTTGTGACATGCATCCTCGGTAAAGACATGCTGCTGTGTAGACATTGTATTATTCGTGACGGTTTATTTTAGGTACGATTGTGCTCTCCATTTGTTCCAATTATAAATACTGACAAAAAGAAATATTTTTATATGTTAATTCTTGTTCTTTTGATAAATAAGAAGGGGAAAATACAAGCTATATCACATACAAAATTTGCGTATTAAAATTTGGAAAACTACCTTTAAAAACTAAATGTGAATTTTAAAAAAGAAGAATAGGAAACCACATATACACACACTTAGAGGAATTTTTAAAAGATGGGCATTTTAATAGCTGGGACACTTCTATCTAAAATGGTATGTATCCTTAGGTTCAGAACTGAAAACTTGTTGAAAATCATGTAAGGCACAATAATCTCGGTAACTGTGGATTTTTCCACCACTTTACATAAACATAAGGATTTGTCTTACTAGAAGAAAATGGAAGATCAGAAGATTAAAAACAATTATTTTTCTTCTGTTCCCCTGGAGAGCTGAAACTATAATGCAAACTTCAGCTCAATTAAATGCCATTCGGATCCACTGCCATCTGTGTTATCCTCATCAAAGTACAGCAGTTGGTTTCATGCTCATAAGTAGGTGTACTTTTTACACCGTGCTTTTTCTTGCATCGTTTTTCTGTTTTCCCACTGTGTGTGCATAGACATTAATGTATCCCTCTACTAATATTTCACTCACTAATTCTCAGTGTATCCATGTATTCACTAACATTTATAGATTGTAATTAAGATCTGAGAAAGGCTTGATAGAAAAGGTTGGGATGAAAATTATTTAGGTACAAGGAGATACTGATGCTTTGTGAGAAGACGAATAGCTGTACAGCTCTGAGATACAAACATTCAGTATGAACATAGAGGAGGCTACTTTACAAACATACTATTCCAGTGGCCATCTAGATAAGTCTTTTTTTTAAATTTTTCTACTCTGTGGGTAAAGGAGCTTACTTAACATGTATATGTAGGCTTTACACCAAACCAAACCCATCGCTGTCGATTCCGAATCATAGTGACTATATAGGCTTTGTAAGGTGGTTATTTTCTCCTAGCAGGCCTGTGGACTGATATTCTCCTGTCTTCCCCCACCTCCTCCTCAACGTTTCCTGCTGCCTTCTTCCCAGACCATGAACATTCTGTGGCCAAAGAGACCAGTCCAAATGGAGCACTAAGACAACATGTAGGTAGTGACATCTTTTTTAAAAAAATTACGGTGTATAAATATAAATTGCACACATCTTAAGTGTACGGGTTGATGAATTTTTACATGTGTATGCACCCATGAAGCCATCACCCAGAATCAAGATGAGGGTCCCAGTCAGTACTCAGAGATAACCACTATTCTGACTTCTGTCGCCAAAGATTAGCTTTGCCTGTTCTTGACTTTCCTATAAATGGAATTACATCTGTAGTCTTGTGTCTGGTTTCATTTGATCAGCATTATGTCTGTGAAGTTCATCTATGTTGCACGTAACAATGACAATGGTTTGCTCACTTTCCTTGCTGTAAAGTATTCCATCACATGAGTGTACCACAATTTATTTATCCATTCTACTGTTTATGGACATTTGGGTTGTTTATAATGCCTAGCTATTATTGCTAAAGCTGCATGAACGTTCTTGTACATATCTTGTAGTGGACATGTATACTTATTTGTCTTGAATTTATACATAAGAGTGAAACTACTGAGTCGTAGGATGGATGTGTACTTAGCTGTAAAAGATACTGCCAAAAGTTTTCAACACAAGTAATGTATAAGAGTTCCACTTGCTCCATATGCTCATCAGTACTTGGACCATCAGCCTTGTTAGTTTTAGCCATTCTGTTGTGTGTGTATGTCATTGTGGTTTTAATATGCATTTACCTAAGGAGTAATGATACATCCTTACTAGCCATTTGGATATCCTCACTAGTGAAATGCCTGCTCAAGTCATTTGTCCATATTTATTGAGTTGTCTGTCTTTTTCCTATTGATTTGCAGGTGTTCTTTATATTTTCTGGATATGAGGCTTGTGTCTGATATTATTGCAGATATATTCTCTTTGGTTTGCTTTCTAAATAATTTCCTTTGATGACCAGAAATTCCTAATTTTTATGAAGCCCAGTATTTCAGTCTTTCCTTTTTGCGGTTAATGATTTTTTTCCTGTTTAAGAAATATGCCTACCCCAAGGTTATGAAGATATTGTATTCTTCTAAAAGTTTTATTGTTTTACCATTCACATGAGGCCTATGATCTACCTAGCATTGATATTTGTGTATGACACATATTGTGTAGCCAGAGTTCTTTTAGTTTCATATGAGTATTCAGTTGACCCAGTGCAGTGTATGGAAAAGCTCAGTGCATTGCGGTTGTACCTTCTAGGTGACTCTGTGGGCTAGTTTCTAGATTTTCTATTCTGTTTCATTGGTCTATTTATCTATCTCTGTGTCATTACCATGATGTTTTAATGACTGTAATTTTTATAAAGTCGTTCATATCTAGTAGTGTAAGACCTAACTTTGATCTTCTTCCGGATGTTTTGACTATTCTTAGATTTTTGCGTTTCCACATACATTTTAGAATCAGCTTAACAATTTCTTCAGGGATGGGGAAAAGATACCTGTTAGGATTTAAGTGATATCGTACTGAATATATAGGTCAATTTCAGGAGAACTGATATCTTCACAGTTTTGAGTTCTTCTGTCCATTGTTGTTGTCATTTGCCATCAAGTTGGCTCCCGTTATGTATAACAGAACAAAAGGGGACCTTGTGTATAACAGAACAAAATGTTGCCTGGTTCTGCAACATCTTCATGATTGTTGGTATGTTATTGAGTCCATTATTGTGGCTGTCGTGCCAATCTATCTCATTTAGGGTTTTTCTTGTTTTCACTAACCCTGTACTTTACCAAACATGATGTGCTTTTCTAGCAATTGGTCTTTTCTGGTAACTTATCCGCAAACTGAAGTCTCTCACCATCCTCACTTCTGAGGAGCATTCTTGTTGTATTTCTTTTAAGACTGATTTGTATGATCTTCTGGCAGTCCACAGTACATCGAGTATTCTTCATCAACATCACAGTTCAAATGGTCGATTCTTCTTCAGTCTTCCTTTTTCACTGTCCAACTTTCCCATGTATGAGGCCGTTGAAAACAGCATGGCTTGGGTCAGACACACCTTAGTCTTCAAAGTGACATCTTTTTTAAAACTGTAAAGAAGTCTTTTGCAGCAGATTTGACCAATGCAGTATAGTACATTGTTTTATTTCTTGACTTCTGCTTACATGGGCATTGATTGTTGATTCAAGTGAAAGAAATCATTGATAACTTCAATTTTTTCTTCATTTATCATGATACTGTTTATCAATCTGTAGACATAGTATATCCCTAAGTATATCCCTCACTTAGGTCTTCTTTAATTTGTCTCAGCAGTGTTTTATAGACTTCCATTTAGAAGTTAGATTTATTTCTAGGCTTTTGATGTTTTTGGATGCTATTGTAAATGATATTTTTTATTTTATTATCTAATTTGTTTAGTGTACATAAATACGGTTGTTTTTTATATATTGCCCTTGCATCCAACATCATTGCTAAGTTCTCTTTTTAATTATATAGATTCTTTTGAATTTCCTTATGTGCACTATTATCTTCTGCAAGTGATGATAATTTCATTTCTCCCTTTCCAGTTTTTACTTTTCTTGCCTGATTAAGCTGACTAGGACTTCCATTAAAACGTTGAATAGAAGTGGTGATAATGGACCTCTTCAACTTGTTCCTAAACTTAAAATAAAAATTTAGTATTCCATCATTCAATATGATGTTTGCTGTAAATCTTTTTAATAGATACCATTTACCAGATTGCTAGTTTTCTGAGAGTTTTTTTAAATGCTTTTTTGCCTCTATTAAGATGACCATGTTATTTTTCTTCTTTATTCTCTTAAAGTAATGAATTACAGTAGTTAGTTTTGAAATTTTATATTCCTGGGGTAAATTGGTTATATTATTATTTTCATGTATCAGTGCATTCAATTTGCTAACATTTTGCCTAAGATTTTTTTAATCTAAGTTCATAAAAAGCATAGAGCTATAATTTTCCTTTCTTTAATATCTATCTTTGTCAGGTTTTAGAATCAAGGTTATTCTGGCCTCGTAAGTTTGGGATATGTCCCTTCTTTTTTTATATTCTGGAAAGTTTGTATAAGCCTGGTATTATTCCTCCTTAAATGTTTAAAAGAATTAACCAGTGAGACCACCTGAATGTGGAGTTTTCTTTGTGGGAAAGTTGTCTTTTAATTGGAGTATTTAGTCCATTTACAGTTAATGTGATTATTGATACACTGTTTTTAAATCCACCATCTTAACATTTGTTTTTAATTTGTCCCATTTCCTCTTTGTTCCTGTATTTCTCCTTTTCTGCCTTTTTTGAACCAAGTACTTTCTGTTGCCATTTTTACTCCTATGTTAACTTGTTGGTTTTTGTTTTTGTTTTAATTCATTTAGCAGTTACCTTAGAGACTACAACACACATTTTTGACTTACCACAGTCTACCTTAAATTGGTACGTTACCACTTCCCTACAATGCAAGGACCTTATCACAGTTTAAATCTGTTTACTCTTCTCCTTCCTTTTGTGTTACTACTGTCATATATTTTACTTCTACATTCTACATATATTTTATGTATTTATTATATTTATTATTATTATTACTGCTACTATTAAAGAGTCAGTATTCATTTTTGTATACCCATATATTTATGCTTCCTGATGTTTTTATTCCTTATTGCCTTTCCTTCCTTCTATCTGGGATTATTTTCCTTCTGCCTGGAGAACTCTCTTTAGTGTTTATTTTAGTGCAAGCCTGCTGGCAATGAATTCCCTTAGCTTTTGTTTTTGTGAGACTTCTTTTACCTTTACTTTTTCTGGAATACCTTTATTGAGATAAAATTCACATAACATGCAATTTTCGTATTTCAAATGTACAATTCATTATTGCCTTTATTTTTGAAGGATTTTTTTTTGCTGAGTGTAAAATTCTAGGTTCAACACTTTCAGTATATTCCATTCCTTAGGTTCTGTGGAAAAGTCATCCATTAGTCTTACTGTTGC